TGTGATTTCCGAAGACTGAAGACCAAGGTCACTAGAGTTCCCAAGTAGAATTCCTCAGAGTGATTGTCTCGTCTTCTACTGAGCCAATCCTTGTATATCCTCGAGGATGTCATTATTTACAGGATATATAGTTAGTTATATAGTTAGTGGGCAAAAAACTTTAAAAAACAAATCAGGGGACTTTTTCATTTTCCTTTCAAATGTTATTTCTCCATTTTTTGTGGAAGGATAATGAATGTTCAAGGAAATTATATTACTGTAGTACATATGCATTAAAGTGGAAGTTTAGTCTTAGACAGGTCTGCTCTAGGAGCTTTTCTGAGAATTCTTTTTTTAAATGCACGTTGTATAATGTCAACAGGGTCTCACTACACACATCAGACTCATAGCGATCCTCTGTTTTCAGCCTGCCGAGGGCTGCAATTACAGGCTGAGAACTCTCACCTCCCATGGACAAGCTGAGATGAGCAGGGCTTGATTCTTTCCACGCAGTAAGTGAAGCAGTGGCCCTAGCAGTCATCTATCATAGTCCCATAGAGACACAGTAATGAATCAATAGCCATTTTTCCTCTCTCTGAACACCAACTTTTTGAAAAGGGAAATTAACCTTCCCCAAGGTAGGGATCTACTTTCCCCAAGGTAGATAAAAGGGGTATCAGTAACCTCATTGTGATGGAAAGAGTCTAAAATGACTTTGCTGAACTTTTAGAGCCGCTACCATCATATAAGGAAGATACCTTGGTTTTTGTTGACACTGTACATTATTTTACTTTTTTACATAGTGATAATTTCATGGGTTTCCATATATATATATATGGTAATACGATGTAGTATTACCTTAAAATCGTGTTCTTTGGCAAAATGAGACTCAAACATGTTGGGATATGTATTCTAAGGACAGAACCTATCTCACGAACTTTTTTAAAATGGTGTTTTGGGCTTAGAGGTCTCTTCTAGTCCACCTCTAAAGTGGTTTCTTTGACAATAATTTTGTAACTTTTTCTAGTTAGAGTTAGAGTACAACTAGGTGCAAAATGTAACATGCACATCTCTGGGTTCTCCAAAGTGGTGATGAAATTTTGGTGCTGTCTTATACAGAGGGGTCCACCAGAGTCGTTTAGACTCTACCACACGTTTATAGAATACTGAGCCAAGCTCTACAGACCCCATGGGGAATTCAACATGGAATACTTTCTAATCAGTAGTTCTAATCGGCTCAACGATTCAGCCACATCCATTATGAAAACTCTATAGATGAAAACAGTGTGAAATACCCTTTCTAGGAAAGCTATCTACTTCACAGGAGAGGAATCTTAGTAGCAGAGCATAAGAGTGTCTTTTGTATGGCCAGAGATTCATAAAGGGGCATACAGGGCGAGCTAGGCTCTTTACTTTCAGGCCGTAAGATACATTTGGTTAAGAATAATTTCAAGACACAGAAAACACATTTTCATTATTTTAAACTGAATTTCCACCAGGTCAGATTTTTCCAAACTTCTCTCAACACTGATGTGCTCAAGCTCAATAACTTTGTGGTTTTGGAAAATGTTTTGTAGTCCTCAAATGAAAGACACTGCCAAAGTTATTGTAAATGGCCTCAAGACTGCAGATCCTGCCCTGGTCATTTTCTGGGTCATTTTCTGCTTAGAGAGTGGACTGGACACAGTGAAACTTGATGCAGGCATTTCAGTCCCCCTTCCTCCCTAAAGGTGCCTCTTCTGGTGCCTCATCTAGAAGCCGTACAACCTGTACAGTCTCCTGCCTCGCTTGCCTTCATGCAGAATATTGGCCTTCTAAGATCAGAACTGCAAAACTAGGACAGGTAGAAGTACGCAGTCAAGTAGAGACCTACGACTGGGGACAGCAGGCTTATGCAGTAGCCTGAGGAAATTGAGAAGTACCAGGCAAACAAAGCAGAAGTTCTCAGTCTTAAACATCCATCTGTCTCCTGGGAGATGGACTAAATTATATAATCCAGATTCTTCCAAAAGTTCTCTTTTGGTGGATCTGAATGGGACCAGAAAATCTGCATTTCTGTGTGTTTCCTTAGTGATGCTACTGGCATTGCTCAGAGGATTGCCCTTTGAGGGGCACTGGAAGACAGCGTCGTGTGTCAGTGCACACAGCTGACATCCAACAGCACACAACTGATCTCAGTCATTTGAATGGAATATAAAGAATTCTGGAAGCTCTCCCTGTAACAGGCTTTCCGGGCGAGGACTTCAGCTTTTTCCTTTGGGTCAACTTGGGTCTTTAACGATCTGGCCAGTGTTTGGGAAGGCATTTGATATTCTGGCTTTAATGTAAACACTTCCCACCTGTCCCAAGTATGTGTATTCCTTTCCAAGAGTTTCAACATTTCTGACATTGGTAGAAGCCTAATCTTTTCTCCCCTCTCCTTCTCACTCTCTCCTTCTCTCCTGGCCAGCATCTGTTCTTTTCACAGCTGTGACCATTTCATTCTGTCTGCCTCTCTCTCTTCTCACCCCCAACTCCCCACCCTCTCATCCTCTCTCCACCATTAAGATCAAAATACTCTGTTTTTATTTATTTACACCACAGCTGTCAGTGTTGTGTCTGGGTCACTGTAGTGCAGCCTCACAGGGAAATGCGATCCTAAAGAGGCCTTCAAACTGCAGATACTTGTAGTAACTGTTGTGCACAGTCAATAACACATGCTCCTTGGATCCCACGTTTGTATTAAAATGATTTGCTTGGGGTTGCGTGTCGAGATGTCCCCAGGAGGAATGAAGTCTAATGGTCCTAGGAATTTACACCAGGCCATTTAAAGGTATTAAACAATTTAGAGTATTTAAAACTTTAGCACCAGAAAAAGAGAGAATTATCCCTCGCAAGAGCTGTAAATTAGGAATCAAGAAAGTGAAGTTCTAATTAGGGTTCTGACACTGACAAGTTGAATGACTGAACCACATTCTCTTCTCTCCCTCTCTCCCTCTCCCTCTCCTTCTTTCTGTTCTTCTCCCTCTCCCTCTCCCTTTCCCTCTCCCTGTCCTTCTTCTTCCCCCTCTTCCTCTCTCTGGTTCCTCTGGTGTCATGCATCCTTTGTTGAAGATAGTGAACTTGATTTCTGAGGGCCTGTTTTCAGTGTATCTAAATTAGAGGTTTCATTGAATATTTGAGTCCTATATTCACACATTATGAGTTCAGGTCAGGTTATAGGGAAATTCCCAAGCTTACCAGGGAAACCATACAACTAGAAAGTACAGGATGGAAGAGCAACATAAGCTCGTCAATTAACTACTGAGGGTTTCTGTACCGAGTAACATGTCTAAATGAGATTTTCAGAGAGGCAGTTTGGTAAGTATTAATTCTACCAGCAGTGTAAAGTCACTAAACAGGAACAGATACAGGAAAGGAAATGATATGTGAAACAAAATAAGAGTGACTAGATCCGGTACATCTTAACAGTCTTCTTAAAGCCATGTTCATAGTAAAACTAAATCGAAGAAAAATAGCCAGCTTTGTTGATACCAGTGAGGGAAGTAACACAATACATGAAATTAATGAAGTACTTGATGAAAGTTTTACTTGTATGAAACTTATTTCTCACATTACTAGGTAATCTTCCTGGGAAGTTGTTAGTATCGTAGTAGTTATCAAATTAATTGTCCTTCCTAATAACTGCAGTGCTTTCCTGTAAGCTTAATTTATTTGTTCTTTGTAGCAATGCAATGTTGTTGTCTAGTTGGTGACTACTAAAAATGGGGTAAAACTTGTGTTGAACAATAATTCACTTGTAAAAAGCAATTACAGTTTACAACACACAATCACAGACTTGGTTTAATTTGATCAATGCAGTAATTGTGAAGTAGCCAAGTAATCATTGTTATTTCTCATTCTTCATATTATTTTCCTTGAATCAAGTAGAATAACAGACTTGGTTAAATTTGTAAACATAGAATGGTAATGTTACCAAAATATTAATCTTAATTTTCCTTAATTAATTTAAAAACATTTTATATATTTTGTATTAGGGCTTAACCAAGGATGTGAAAAAAAATAGACATATTTCTATGCTGAGAGAGAAGTTCAGTGGAGAAATGCCAGCATGTTAAAAAAAAGGTACAATAATGAGCTATGGGTACTATCATAAAAGTAGTTTAAGATTATGTAAGGTGCAGAGAGATGGAAACATCAGGAAAGAATTTAAACTTTTTTTTATTAATCAGTAAATTGTGTAAGGCATCTGACATATATGTATATATGTGTACATATGCATATATATATATATATATATATGGTATACATGATGCTTCTTTTTCTTATGTGGAACACAAATGTTCTAGATATATTGTTGTAATGGTCATTGGTATAATATTTCTTTATCATCTACCACTTCAATTAAATCATAAAGCAACACATGCATGTATAAATATATATGATAATTAATAATATAAAATTAAAAAGTGAGAAAAATAAAAGAAAATATAAAAAGTCAAAATAAAATAAAAATATACATACACGTGTGTGTGACTTTGGATGTAGGCTTTGCAAAATATGGTTCTGAAGTATTTTGTGGAGGCGAGAGTAAGAAAGTAGCCTGTTTAAGGCACAATACAAAGAAATAAACTTGTCTAAAGCAAATGGATCTCTTTTCCTTCATAGGGCTTTCTAGGCAAAGTAACTTAAATGCAAAGATTTTCCTAAAATCATCATCCCTTTTTACCCTTTCTTTTACGTTATCCATGTGCTAAGATCCCAGTGTGAAAATTCCTCTGTAAATATCGGCCCTTTCGTAGGGGGACTTGATGGTTAGTTTTGCATATTGACTTGGTAAGGTCATGGGTTGCCCAAATATGAGGGTATTTTTGGTGGAGATTTACATTTAAATAGATAGACTGAGTAAAACAGCGTGCCTTCCCTGAGGTGGGCAGAACTCTACTCAGCTGAAGCACTGAATAGAATAAAAAGCCCTTCACTGCCTATGGTCTGCCATCTGGGATATTTGCCCTTTCCCTCCTTTCAGACTAAAGCAGAAGCACTGGCTCTTCCTGTCCCCCGGCCAGGGTCACCCCTGGGTCTACAGCTGGCCAACTCATCCTGAAGATCTTGGGATCTGCCAACTGTAATTTTATGAACCGATCCCTCATTGCACATACATTTGTTTATTGCTTTTATATTCACATGTAAATATGCATTCATTTTGTGGTTCCAAAGACTCTGGCTATTGTGGAGATTTTATCATTTTTTAAAGTATGTTTTCCTTGACTTTTTAAACTAAATGTATATATTTAATATTTTACAGTAGTAGGACATAACTCCTGAAAGATTGTGTGAAGGATAGCCATTTGGAAAACAAATAAATATTCCTGCTTAACATTTCCTCAGTAGTTTCTTCAAAAACAAAACATGCTCTGAACTTAAAGTGATGAAAATTTTTACTGAACATATTGAAAAATTTCTTCCAAATCTTTATTGAGTAAGGTTGATTAAGCTGACAAACTAGTAAACCTATCACAGTGAGGAGGGAATAATGTATTTTAATCCAGCAGTTTTATAGAAGTCCTTAGAGTTCAGAGTCAGATGTGGCAGGAAAATACTGCACTTAGTATTTTCCGGCTTCAGAAATTACACCTCCATAACTAACATAAGGCCTGGGGCCCTGGGAGCTAGCCCAGCAGAATAAGCACTTGCCTGGCAATTCCTGAGTTCAATCCCTGGTACCACAAAACAAACAAACAAACAAACAAACAACAACAGCAACAACAACAACAAAAACCTAACATAAGGTCAATGGAATTCTCAAGTATGGTGCATAATTTCTTTAATCATAATCATTTCACCACAAATGTAATTTCTCTTAGGTTCATTGGATACTTCTAATTCACCAGTTATTAGCCAAATCCTGCTAAAGAAATTCAATTAAAAAATGATATTGGGAAAGTTCAGTTACATATGTGCAAAGTTCCCAACTAATTGACCATACTATTCTATACCCATACACAGATCCTTGGTTTGTGAGCCCAAGGGGAATCTTGTTAATGACTTTCTGGGGGCTCTTAAGCACGTATTTCTCCAGGTTCTCATAACATAATTAGTAAAACTATGATGCCCACTTAGAGATTTCAAGGTTTTTCTTGGTTTCAGATTCTATGACTCTTATTTGGCTCTCATGTACGTATTCAGGATGAGAATGACCAAATTAATTATCTTAAAGATAGTTTTGATTTGTGTCTCATTGCTCATTGATTCATCTTTATATTTCATTTTTTGCTGTGGTTTACTTTTAAATGATAACATGCTCTGACACTCTAATATAGTATCGGATCTTGTTTACATAAAGTTAATTGTCCTGCAAAGAAGTAATCTAGAAAGGAAGCTACTGGAAAGGTAGCTTTATTCATGGGAAGTCAGTCCACCTAAATCTAACTGTGAGTCAACAGTTAAGCACCTCTGTGCTTTTGTTTATGAAGTTGACAGAATTTTAGCTTGGCTGAATGGAACTCAGTGCACAGCGACAGGAATTTGGTGGCCCAAAACACCTTTGGAGAGCAGACTAAAAACTCTGCTTAAGCAGCCTCACATTGGAATGGACTGAATTATTTCCATGTCTGATTCTCATGATTCTGCAAAAACTACTTCCTAGACATAAAAATAGGCTGTTAGCAGGCATTGGAATGGTGGCTCCCTTCTACCATAGTAACGCAGGTTCTTGGTGAGGGAGGAGCCCACAAAGCAGAACAGGTCCTATTCCTAACCACAGTTTCCTCACCTCCAAGGAAATAATGTCTTTTTTTAAAAAAAAAAAAAAAAGAATCACATAACTTTTGAGGTGTTGATATTACTGAGAATACTGAGATATTGTGGACACATTCTTGGAAGTGAAAGGTACTCTAAAAATACAGATGCCATTGACCTGGCACCAGCAGGCTCTTACTCCATCCTTTCCTTCATCCTCCTCCACCCCTGCAGTCTATCTTCAGTACAAGTAGCATCCAAATATAAAGCAGATGGGTCATGTCCCATTCCAAGGGATCTTGAAATGTCTGTACTTAGAAAAGGATAAAGCTAAAGCTGTGTTTTAAGTGACCTAAACTAGGACACCAAGAGCAGCTGGTCTTGTTTCCAGCTGGATTCCTCAGCCTGCCAGGGAGAACGACAAGGCAAGTTACCGTGACAAATTCTCCTCTCCAGGGCTTGGGGATCAGTGTAAGGCAAGAAAGCTTGTAAGTTCAGAGAAAATCGAACAACAAATAAGAAGCACAACAAAAATAAAAATTATTCCGATCTGGATCCTTTAAAAATAAAATAATTCATTTAAAAGTGTTGCTATCACACTTAGCCCAGTGGCATACATTTTATGTTTCTATAAACATATAAATAATCTGCTTCTAAATTTATTAGTTGTTCAACACTCAGGATAAGTATATAGGTATTTGAAACTATGATGTATAATAACTACATTCAGACAATGGGATAGATACATGTAAAGGCTTGATCTACAATACCAAAAATGCAGAATGAATCAATAATTAAAGCGGAGTCTTCACTTACTCTATTGTTTATCAAATATCCATCTTGTTTCAGACATGATGTTAATATATATATATATATACATATCACATATTTTATGTATATATATTTCCACTAAATTCTTATTATAACTGCATAAAACATCACTAGTGTTCATTTTATGAATGTAGAAAACAATGTTAAGGGAAATACGCTATAAATATTTATACAATTGGATAGTGGTAAATCAAAGTGCCCAATTCAATCTTACTATGATTAAGTACTAATTGTGGGGCAGACACATTTTTTCCAATTATCACTGATATTATTCTGCTTTGATCTCTGTACTGCTGTTCATACTACTATGTTGTCCAAGCAAACTAGATTGAGTATAAATCTACTAATTCAAAGAGTAGATATTAGAGCACAGTGACTATAAAGGGTGATTCTTTTGGCCTTAGAGATAGCTCTTAGAGACAGTCAGAGGCCAGATGATTTTGCATGACTGTGTTCCTTTTGCCTCCTGGTACGTGGGAAAATGTGCTACGTGCAGTGACATCTAGCTGGGAAGTATGAGGGAAGAGATGTGCTCTGGTATACGAAAAAATAGGCGCCTCCCACAGGGATGCTCCGTGTTCTTCTCCCCTCCATGCAGCTGACAGAGGAGACCTTCCTGGGAACTCAAAAGGCTTAAGCACAGCAGAAACACACAATGCAGAGACTCAGCGTCCCCAAATCACTGTGCAGAAGAGAGCCCTGTCAGAGAACTAGTAATATTGAATTTAAACTTTTCTGTGAAGAGATATGTTTGAGCCTATGCTGCGTGGCACGTATGCTGCATGTGCTAAGAGAGTGTGCAATGGAAAGACTTTTGAAAACTAAATTAAACTGAAGGATATTTCATATGTGTGTATAGTGGGAGTCCACAGTCTATGTGAGGGATTGAAACACCTAGACATAGGTAAGAAAAATGACTTGGTTTCTTCAAGGAAAGGTTTGAACATAAAGGTAAAGTGCAAGGGTAGGAGAAGATAGTAGCTGTAGATGAAAGAAGTCTCTTTTCTATGTATTTAGTACAGGGTCTACAGGGTCTCACTATATAGATCAGATTCATAGTGATTTCTCCTGTTCTCAGCCTCCTAAGCACTGGGATTACAGGCACACCCCACCACCCCCAATCTCAGTTACCCTCTCAGTCTGCCCTGGGAGTGGGGCCATCACGGCATGCTGGGGATCAAACCCAGGTCCCTGTGCCTGCCTAAGCAGCCCCTTTAATCCTCTGAGCTATCTGGCTGGCCCTGAAAATAGTCTTGAAGTCATTCCAGTCAAGAGAAATAGCAACAGACACAAATGAAGGGTTTCAAAAGAAATGTATTAAGTATTCAAGGAAGCATGAAATATGCGATGATTACCTAGATAGGTGGTGATATGTGGGTTTCTGTTATGATAGTGTTATGCTTTTTTGGAAAAAAGAATCCTTATTATACACAGACTACTTAAATATTAACAGATAGACAAAACCTATGGGAGTTGCTTTAAACTAATATTTTGGGGGATGAGTAGGAAGATTAAGGTTAGCTTTGGGTACATGATTTCTGCAG